GTGTATGCGAGTTTGCCTTATGGTAGTTTTTCGAGTATTCCTTTATCAAAGTAGTATTGTGACCGTGAATTATTTGATTAGTGATAACAGTGAGCACTCAACTGGCAGAGGTCAGTTTAAAGTAGTCATAAATCACGGAGTGTCCTCACAGGAGTAGTCACCGCTGCGCTGACGTGGTCGGTTATCGTTGTCTAGAAGAAGAGATCGCAACCATATAAGATCTATTACTTCTCTGGTGAAAGTTTTTGTAGTGGGTTACGTAGTCACCGACGTAGCTGTCCTGCGAGACAGTTGGAGTGCCAGGTCGGCTGACTGGCGCAACGAAACTGTAGTGTGAATGTGTGAGTGAGTGCGAATAAATCGTTAGATTTATTATTATTAATGTGACGATGGACTCCCCGTGTCCACCGTCTACAAGGGCTCTCACAATTCCTGGCCGACTTTGTCGTTACACGACGCGCCAGACGAGCGACTGCTCGTCGCCGGCCAGGGTCCGGCTAGCTAGATAGGGACGGAGGAAACGCGAGATTACCTCAGGGCCGTGGGCACGACTCTCCTCCGGGAGGAGGCGTCGACGGGTACGGAGCGGGGACTCCTGTAACTGCAACACTGCACCTGTAAAGTACCTGAAAACCCGAGAAAATCCACGAGAGAGAGAGGAAAGGAAAAAGACGGGTGGTACAAATAAAAACACAGTGTATTTCGATTAACACAATTTACCAGTTTATTTAAGCTACTCTAAATCACTCATTCATACGTAGCCAAAGCTTTCACACTCACAATCACACTTTGTCGCGGACGCGAGCTGCGTTGCCGTTCGGTGGGTCGATGCGAAGCGCGGTAATACCAACAGACTACTCACGGTACTCCTCGCTCTCGAGGCTCGCGACCGCACGGGTAGACTCTGCGTCGCCGGGGTCTTAGAAGATCCTGCTGCTCTCTTCGTCGTCGTCTGTTGGCCACAGACGCAGAAAGGGACGGGCCGGAAGGGTCAAAACTCGTCGTGGTCGATGCAGATTTGATGCGCCTCACGAACCGCCAGCACTCACACTCGATTCGTAGCCACCAAGTTCACCAGTACACCAAGAACACGCTTTCGGCTCACTCACACCCAACAGCACTCCTCACTACTCGCACACTCTACTACAAAAAACTCCGACAAAACTTCCACAAAACTACTCGACAAAGCTCGCGTACAAAGAGCTCTGCTCGGCTCAACGGTCCAAATACAAGTCCCGATCGTCTGCTAATTCGCACGCGACGATCTTCGCTCCGAGTTCGCAACTTGTAATCGGGCACGGGCCGCTCGCGCAGTTACGTGGTGCTGCACTCGCGAGGGGCCACAGTGGTACCGGCTACAATGATCGCAACTCTTGCACGCATTCACCCGAAAACCTCAACTCAGACGCGTTTATGACGCATCGCTTGCGTGCTCCGACGTTCGCCTATAGTGCAACGTCACATTAATTAAATGCTCGCGTTGTTATTTCGTGTGCTTCTCTCCTACAGGTAGCCGAGACCCCGGATAACCCACCTTTGGATGGAGCATACTTGGTCCCATGGCCGGGTCTGGCCGTGGTGTGACAGATGTATTCAGGAAGAATAGGCTATGTAAATGAGTAATGAGAAATGCAATGATACAACATAAACTTAAACCCATGAATCGATCCAGAAGGTCTGGTTCAAACACACTACCACGAACACTCGCACAAATACAGATAATCAGCGCCGCACTAGTATACGATATCTTGAACCGATCGGTGACGATCTGCGCCTGTTCATTGAAGGGCTAACAGGGGGCTTAATTATTTTTCATTTTTCAATTACAGTACTAGGCTGTAAAAGAGAAAAAAATGTTTTTTTTAAGAACACACATGATAACCCTTTTCAAAACCCTATTTGAAAGTATTTTGTCCAGTTAGATACTTAGAAACAGTTAAGTACAATAATAATGAGGGTATTAACCCTCAACGCAAGCTATACGCATATCTAAGCTACCTGTCGTAGAAATCCAAGAGCAAGCACTAATCGATGGTACCCCAATTGGTTTCATTTTGTTCGATATCCAATTGGCCATGGTCGCAACCAAAAGCTAGCCATAAGATGAACTGTAGCTACTTGTATATATAGCAAAGTGAAATTAATTTATGGAAAATGATAAAAAATGAATATTAAATTCTAGAAATTTGTACACACAAGTAGCTACAGTTCATCTTATGGCTAGCTGTTGGTTTCGACCATGGCCAATTGGCTATCGAACAAAATGAAACCAATTGGGGTACCATCGATTAATGCTTGCCCTTGGATTTCTACGATAGGTATAGCTTAGATATGCGTATAGCTTGCGTTGAGGGTTAATACCCTCATTATTATTGTACTTAACTGTTTATAAGCATCTAACTGGACAAAATACTTTCAAATAGGGTTTTGAAAAGGGTTATCATGTGTGTTCTTAAAAAAAACATTTTTTTACTTTTACAGCCTAGTACTGTAATTGAAATCATTGGCAAAAAGCTTCCTCATAAATAATAATATTAATAAAAGGCATCGGTTATCAATGTGAAAATTCGTATTTTTAAATTTTGATTCACTGTCTAGTGTCCTAACAACCAGACGATCACGAGGATACATTTCTATGTTAGCCAAAAGGCCGAGAAAACAAAAACTCATACAGACATTTGTTGGTAATTCAATGTAGTTTCCCAATATGTAAACCAAATTGTCCTACGACGTCTGGTTCCAAATCTCGATTTCAAGCCTATCACAGGACTTCCTCTATGAGGAATCAAAATGAAAAATGATTAAGCCCCCTGTTAGCCCTGAAGTAGAGAGTTTTCTTGGCTCTTTGCTTGGTTTTTCCTTTTCCCTAAAGTTTACCTTGCATAAGAGATCTTGCTGTAAAATTAATGTGAAGCTATTTATCGGAAAGGGGTCAAAGGGTAAAAATGAATGGTGTTATTAGTCAAACAAAGACAGTCGAGACAGGTATAACCGAGGGCACTGGTCCTAGGACCCTTTTTGTTTATGTTAATGATATTTTTGACTACTGTCCTGGTTCATATGCTTCTTCGGATGACACAATTTTGATGAGTCATGTTGACACTTGGACGGACGTGCTGGGCGATATGAGGCAGTCGTTGCAAAAAGTTGACTCCAGGTTTGTTGCTAATAAGCTTACGTTGATTACGTTGTTACATCGTGTTCACGATTCGCCGTATTTTTAATGTACAAAGATAATGCTCTAGCATTCGGTAGTCAATCAGTTTAGGCAATAAGGACAACACTTTTTGTGTGTCATTCGACAAGAAATTTGTCGATCGTCAAATTTTATTTTGCAACGTTTCGTCTAGCATGTTTCTATACCTCTTCAGGCATGTTGCGAGTCGATGTAATACAAGCCTACGTTGAATGTGGTAAAGACTGAGCATATGACTTTTGGGTGTAATATTAACAGCATGCCATTATGTACTGACATAAATATTAGGGATTTTTCTATAAAAGATGCAAATATTGTTAAATATCCTTTTATTCACCTAGACATGTGTTGGAATGAGGCCAACACATACAGTGTGTAATGGGCAAACTAAGATGCGTGCTTTTTATTATGTTTAAATTAAAGAATCTGCCTATGGGAGTACTTGTCATCATTCATTATGCTTATGGGTCATTTTCCTACTTTTTTAAAAAAGTGTGCGCGGTGGTATTTCAAAAAAATCTGAAAAAAATATATGTTATTAAACAACATAAAAAAAGACTTTTCCAAAAGTCTTAGTCCGGAAAAAAATGTTTGGAGGTGTCAAGTGATAAATGAGTGTCGAAAAACGTGGTTTTTTTGCTGTTTTTTGGCGATTTTTTAAAAATTCTACAAAGCGGAGTTTTGACTTGTCAGAGACGTAGTTGGACTCATTTTTTTCGTCTGAAAAAGTACTTTTTGAAAAAAAATCGACCCCGAGGTTTTAGGTCTTCAAAATCCTCTTTTTTTGTAAGAGTGTTATGCGTGTCATTAATAAAGATCATTCCCTAGATTAGTTGACGTTGACAATTCTTTTCATGGTCTAAGATTCTAACATTAGACCAATCCATGTCGGGTCCTTGATTTTTTTCAATATGAGAAGCTACAATTGACTTCATGCTGGCAGCGTTTTTATGTTCACGTATGTTATGAGGATTTCGAGCTTCCTTTTTTTTTTGTCCGACGTAACTTTTAGTACACCCTGTATATTTCAAAAGAAACACAACTCTAATTTGTTCATTCTTATTGATCTTATCATTTCCTAGTTTAATGAGCGATTCGCTTTGCGTCGGAATGACCTTAATGTTGTATTTTTTACCTCAATGTCATGAATATTTTCAATGCTGCATTCACGTCTGTAAGCCCGATCGCCCCTTTTATGCTATATTTTCATATTTTGGGGTTTGGAGATTATAAATATGATAATCTACACGACTGATGATACACGATTGAATTTGTTGGGCACTCCTTTGATTGGGAAGCGACCAAAATATTGAACAAAGAATCTGATTTTAAACGAAGGTGGATTGCCGAAATGCTGTACATTTTTGACGCCTCTTATGCATTAAATAAGAAAGAAGACACTCAATAGCTCAACTCAGTGTACAGCAATATTTTGAAATATTGTAACCGCTGGGTAACGTATGGGTTAGTTTACCTACAGAAGCCGACGTAGTTCAGCGAAACGTCGTAACAAATGTTAATAAAATATTAATTATTTCGGTTAGATTTGTGCTTTATTCACCTTTCTAATCAAAGGTACAGCCTTCATCTTCGATAAAATTTTTAAAATAAAACATAGAAAGCATGACTTTGATAAATTATAAATATGATTTTTGCCTGATTTATACAATAGAAAAATTCTATATATTATTTTAATGTTGATGTGAAATGCAAATCATAAAACAAGGAAAATTTTGTTTATAAATCAGTTAAAAAAGTTACTTAATAATTTTTAGTTATATAAGCTAGTATGTTAAAATTTCAGTCAAACTTTTCTATTGGACGCCATCCTCATCAGATGCGAATTGTCTTTATGCTAGACTTTGGTCTTGCAAGACAATATACAACTGGAACAGGAGAAGTAAGACCTCCTAGAGCTGCAGCAGGTTTTCGAGGAACCGTTCGTTATGCATCTATTAATGCTCATAAAAACAAAGAAATGGGTCGACATGATGATTTATGGTCACTTTTTTACATGCTTGTTGAATTCGTCAATGGACAATTGCCTTGGAGAAAAATAAAAGATAAAGAACAGGTAAAATTTTTTAAATACTTTAATACATGCTCGATTAAAGGATAAAAATATCAAGTTAATTTCATAAATCTTATACATTGTAACAAGGTTCTCAATATTTCGTGCCACGTCATAAACATACATTCACACACGCACACAATTTTTTTTAACGAACCGCTTCCCTGATAGTAAAATTTTCAAAATTAAAATATTAAAATTTTTAAAATAAATGTGTGATAAGGATAATTAATCAAAACTGTGGGTGTAGCCAAAGCTATTGAAAAATTGTTCAATGTTCACATATAAGTTTGGAAAATTCATTTAACAAACCATTGAATTTCCAACTTCAATTTGTGAGAAAGATGATTCGCAAAAATTGTGGGAGTAGCAACGTCATAGATAATTTTTTCAATGATTAGCATTTGAATTGGAACATTAATTTTAACATATGATTGAATTCACTTTTTCAATTGTATGAAAGGAAAAATTGGTCAAAATTGTGACAGTAGTCAAAGTTATTTAATAATTGGTAATGCGTAACATGGAATTCTGAAAATTTACTTGAGAAAACCATTAATTTACTATTTAATGAACAATTTTTTAAAATTTTAAATGCCGCATATACGAATTGTCAATACAAAATTTTTAATTTTCAAAGATGGGTTTTAAAAATTTACAGAATTTGAGAGTTAATGCGTTTTTTGCAAATTTTATATTATTTTTCGCTTCATAAACATGTTCAAAAAAATTCGTTATTATGGTCAATACCATCATGGATTTTTAAACAGGGTTATACGTAGAATACCATCAATCATGATCGCATTTTTCACTTAATAAATAGAAAGATAAATCTTGCACTGATTTTCGACATTGCAGACATTTTAAAAAAAATAATAGGTTTATTTTTTCTATAAAAATTTAAGGGAAAATTCACTAAGATTGTATGAACAAAAATCAAAATTTTATTGTAGTATATACAATGTATGTAGAAGTGTGAAATAAACATAGGACAATTTATTATAATTTCCGAATACAGCTAAACCCCGGTATCTGCGCATTCGATATCTGCGAATTCGTTATCTGCGGTCTTATGTTTTGTGACCAATCTTCAGTACCTGCGGTACGAAATCTCGTTATCTGCGGTTAGGTTCATGTTGACTTGAAGGTGTTGACATTTGTTTGTTTGTTATTATTATATTTTTTCAAAATCAGTTGAGTTTGTAGTAATTTACATTTATTTTTATTTTTAAAATGGCACCATAACTTTAACTTTCCATCGACGTGTAAAGGAAACTTGTGAATCTTGTGCAGAAGAGTCATTCAATGGGAGCACCGGTTGGTTAGGCCATTTCAAGGAGCGATTTTCATAACATAGTGTTAGTTTTTCCGACAAGGTCCCCACCTGTAACGAGGTGCATTAATGGGAGTAATGAGCACGGCTCATTAGTTGTATTTTACGCTGAAGCGCAGCCTATCGCCGGACTTCGGCCCTTCTCCTCTCGGCAACTCAAGTCTAATTCATTGTCTTAATCTTATTTACTACCTTCCACCCACGTAACAGTTTGTAATACTTTATATTTGATACCGAAAAATTATTATTTTCTAGCAAAAAATCTTTGATGTAAATTTTTTCGCCCACCCGGAACGTAACCCTCTAATTGCCATAAAAGCAATGCTTCGATATCTGCGGACTCGATATCTGCGGTACCCTTCCGGAACGTAACCCCCGTAGATATCGGGGTTTAGCTGTATCTGTGTGAAAGGTGAAATCAGCCAAAATTGTAAAAATAGTAGAGTTGATGAAAAATTGTTAGGTGCTGGATATGTAAGATTGGAAAAATATTCCTAATTTTGGTGATAACGAGAATTTTACAAAAATGGTCTTATGTCTCAGTTTATAAATACGATAGGGAAAATATGCCATAATGATTATTTTAGTAAAACTTTCTAAAAAGTCGTCGTATATAGCATATTAATAAAATGTATCGTTACTCAACGTATAGAATAGGAAATTTTGCCTCGATTTTATAATTTAGATATACTATTGAGTCCTTTTTTTTACATATTTTCTTTTTGCTCATTTTTAATTTTCACCTAATCTATATTGGTAAATTGGGGGGTTGGTGAGCGGAGCAAACAGGGTGGCGAAGCTCCCCTAGCATACACGTACCATAATCTGCTACTTATGCCACTGTTTCATAATGTACTAATATTGGGAAGGTTTGTACGTCTTCAGCCTTTTCGGCCTGGAAAGTGTTCTCCATACTTTTCCTACCCCTTTTATTCTTAATCTTATCCGTTTTTCCTTTTTACTTATCCTTTTTTCCTTTTCCTTTTGCCTATCCGTTATTCCTATTCTCCAATCTATCTTCGCATTTGGCTGGGGTTATACTCGTGATATGGGGAACAACTCAGTGAGAAAAACCCATACCAGAGTTGGTCGGTGCTATTATTGCACCTCCCACTAGCACGTGATGACGCTTGCAAACACAGCTGAGCGATGCATTAGGGCGCCATGCTCTCGACGGAATGGGTTCCCTGGCGGTCCCTTATCCACGACCCTACCGCGACTTACTGTGCTTTATTTTGCATATCGCCCGAGCCGTGAGTACCTCACCCCACCTTCTGCTACGGTTACACTGGCTAAATATTACATGATTTAAAACTGAATAAAGTTTACGTACAGTACATTTATTTGATGTGTAACGTCTTATGTTTTGTTGAGTAGGCTAGTGAATCCGTGAAAAACAAGCAGGCGCGATAATCGTAGGTTTTTAGTCTCAGTAGCGTCTGTTTACTTCTCGCGCTGTGATTGGTCGACGCTAGGCAGGGTCAAGTGACTACAATCGTAAATTATAAATCGTAGTGTTATGATATTTTATTAATTTACGTAAATGTAACTACAAATCGATGAATGCTTAACGAATACTTCAAGTACATAAGTTTATAAATTCATCAAATATGTTGGTAAAGGAAGATAATATAAGGAAACGGCGCGCAAGCGGCCTCGGAACTCACAATAAACAATCACAATTAATCAGAAAGTATCTACTGCAGCATAAATCGAAAAATCAGTTAGATTAAAATCAATTTAAAAATTAATTAATGAAAAATAAAACTTATTGTTCTATGCAGGCAAACCCCATTATTTGCGGGAGTTCAGTTCCAAAAAAATACCGCAAAAACCGAATCCGCAAATACCGAAGCATTGTTCTTATGGGAAAACAAGGGTTCGGTTGCTTGTTCGGCTGAAATGTCAATATAAATGTTGGTAAAAAAATTTTTATCAGAAAAAATTGAAGTTTTGATCAATATTTTTTTATTTTGTAGTAAAATATTGAGTCAAACTTTTTTGGTCTGCTCTGCGCATTAGATCTTTGTACAAATTTTTATAACACTTTGATGATTTTTCAGTATCTTGTCTAAATTGAAGGCTTCGAGTCATGATTGGGTCGTCATTTAATGCTCGTTTAATGAGACGCTCTGCATCAGTCAAACTATTTTCGCAATAAGAACAGACTCGGGTTCTTGGGTCAATGAAAACATGATTTTTCTCTAGATTTCCTCTATTCTTGACACAAATGAAGGTCAATAATGAAGTCTGTTTGTTTGACGATGGCAAAAATTTATCAGAAGTTGTATTTTGGTGTATCGATGAACATATTACGATATTGGCCATATCGCTGGATACGAACATGTTTATTTTTGCCACTGAAGCTGAAATTTAGAAATAAAGGTACTTGGAGTTTATGAATATGATTTTTGACATTAAATTTGAATTCCTCATCAAATTTTACATGAAAAATCATGTTTCAATCATTTTTTCATATTTACCTTTGAGAAGCAGAATTATACAATCGAACGAACTCCACGAGTGAAGTTCGATTCGGATTGTATGAGCGCCTCCTCCAAAGAGATCATAGGTAGTCTCCCCAATGTGACCAACTTTACCACACTTGAAAGCTAAAAGAAAAAGAAACTCGGCGCGCCACCGCTGCCGTACCCGGCGCTGCGTCGGTCGCTCATTACTTCAAAGTCCTGCCGTAGATATTAGGGAATATATCTCTGTGAAGATATGGGGAAATTATGGGTGGGACTGATCTCTTTGGAGAAGGCGCTCATACAATCCGAATCGAACTTCACTCGTGGAGTTCGTTCGATTGTATAATTGTATTTCGCGCCTCCTCTTTCAGAGATCATAGGTAGCTATTTAAAGCTATCTACGGCAAGTACGAGAGTTATAAATTAATGACTACTGTGTACGATCATTAGATTATTATTAATTAACCTCTTTATTAACTATGACCAATACAAAACTTGTAGTTCAATGATTATTATTATTTAGAATCGATAGTGCATACTCTTCGCCTCCCGTGACGATTTCACGATCATAGAAACGGGCGAAAGTTGTGGAATCCTTTGACCAGCCTGCAGTTTTTCTAATTAGTTCAATGTCTACACCTAACCGTTTGGCCGAAGAAGTTGATGCATGGTGCGTGCTATGCGTAGAAAAAATGCTAGTGTCGATGCCACTATCTGTTAATATATTTTTCACCCAACGGCTCAGCGTTTGAGTGGAAACGGCCTTTACGGGTTTATTGGTGGACAAGAATAGTTTACTGATCGATTTACGAGCCTTTTTCGTTACCTCAAGGTAATGTAACAAACAAGATGCTACACATATTCGCTTCTTACTAAAGAAAGGTAGAACCAATAGTGGCTGCAACGAACCCTTTTTTGATGTCTTAATCTGATCAGGAATGCGAATTTCTACTTTATCCTTAAAAGTTTTAATATTTTTTACCTCTATTGACCAGAACGTCTGCATCCGATGACCCGTAGTAAGAGCTAATAAAATTATTAGCTTCTTCGACAGAGTATTGAGTGATAGATCTTCATTATCTCCTAAAGAGTGTAAATAATTAAGAACTATATTCGGGTCCTATGTAGACGCATATTTGGGATGTGCTGGCCTAAGCTTATAAATTCCCCTGAAGAATCTTTTGACGTGCTTATTATTG